GACTGGTACCTTTTTACTATTATGTCAAAGCCCAGAACCTGGCTAGCACATTTTATTTTTTCAGTCAGAGCCCAACACCAAACTGGCACCTTTCTCTCCTCTGTCAAAATTCAAAATCGAACTACCACATTTTACTTTTCTGTCAAAGCCCAGAACCTACCTAGCACATTTCATTTTTCTTTTAAATCCCAGAATCAAACTGGCACATTTAATTTTCCATCAAAACCCAGAACTTTACTAACACTTTTCACCTTTTTATCCTATTGTTTAAGCCCACTGCTTGACATCCTTTGTTTTTAGTGGAGACTCCATGTCGCTTCGCAATTTCGTTCAACACAAATAGTCATAAATTACGACTTTCCCTAACAGCTGAGTATTCACTATATTTGTCTTTGTATTCCTTGTACACCCGGTTTATTTTAGACAAAAATTGATTCACTTCTTTACTCAGTTCTCATCAACTCTAACTTCAAAATATCTCTGATTGATAGGAACTGAGTAAAGAGGGGCAACTGTGAATACCAATTTTTGCCTCTCCTGGATTACCTCCAAATTTTTTAAAAAATTAAAATGAAATAATAAAATCGCTTTACAAAAATGGAAAATTTTTGAAAAAAAGGGGATTTTGCTTCCCCGAAACAGCCACCCGCACTTCACAAGCCTACACTCCAATATAAAAAATCAATCTTGAGCATGAAAAAGGAAAAACTCAAAACTTTGGCACTTTGTAAAAGAAAAACCCTAAAATGTGAGATGGAAGGGGGTATAAAAACTCAAGTAAATCTGAAGGAAAAGGGGGTTCGGTGAAAGAAAGCAAATTTTTTTAGAACAAGTTTCCAGGGAACAAAAAAATAAAGAGCATCTTTTTAGAAAAATTCTGGGAGAGTTTTTAGAAAGGAAAAATTTTTAAGAACGACAAACTTATCTAAAAGTTTTTCTTGGGAAGATCAAAAAAGGGAAAGAAAAAGATTTTCGAAACAAAATATAGAAAGGAAGGAGGACACTGAAGGAGAAGAAGAGCTCAAAAGGAAGGCATTACCGAAAGGAAGAAGAAGAAAAAAGCTCAATCACTCTATCTTTTTGTTTGAATCTTGAACGTTGCATTCTTGGTATGTTTTTCTTCACATGCTCTACTCTCGTAACATAGATAGCATGATGTGTGGCTAAATAATGAAATATTAGGTTACAGGCTTCCTGACATAAGTTCTGTCCTTTTTTATATATATTTTAATATCTTGGTGGCATATGGTATTTGATGAACATAATCGAAACCATTCTTACAGACCATCAAAGTAAAGCTCTCTTCTTATTTTTTTAACATTTTAATATTTTAATAATATATTCCATTTGATTTGAAAGGAGTTATAATGTCCAACGTTTTGCAGCACAGTTACTATGCCAATACTTTTCCAAATCTTAGTTTCGACACTTCTTTAAATTATTATTATTCTAATTTTTTTTTCTTCTTCTCTTTTTTTACTTTTCAGGTTTAGGTAGCTCATTGTTTAAATGAAAAGATAGTTTAAGTTTTGAATTTTTAGTTTAGAAAAAATATAAAATAATGAATATTTACTTATTTATTTCTTTTTTCTAGTTTTTATCCATTCATTTATTTATCTACTTTTAAATTATAAAATCACCTCATTTTTTTTATCTTTAAATAATTTGTTGTGTTCTATTATTATGTTATATTTGCTTCCAATTTTTAATTACAGATTTACCCTTTCTCACTAAAAGTAATGGGAGATAAATAAAATAAGAAAATTTTCATAATAATTATTGATTTTTTTTGCTTATGTTTAATGAATAATTTATTCTTGGGTTGTTTATTCTTAGTATTTTTATTTTTATTTTGTGTAAATTCAAAATATTAGAATAATTTGATTTTATACTCGTAGTATGTTTTTATTTATTTAATAAATATAAAATGTATGTAATTTGTAAATTTATTTTATTTATGATCAAGTAATAAAAAATATATTTGCATCAATTTATAACATTAACGTGTAACTTCTCTACCGTCGTGTGTTATAAATTGATAAAGTCTACGTGTACCTACGTTACCGAGACTTTAAGCAATACTAATTTATCATATGTTATCTTTAATTAATTAGAAAGATTATCTAATAATTAATCAAAAATGTATTCCCTATAACCACTATTTTACTAATCAATCAGTAAAAATTATTTTATTAACACAATAATTTATAATGCTAATGTATAGCGACTCTACCTTTACGCGTTATAAATTATTAGAACCTATTCGTACCAATGTTACTTTAGGTTCTATACAATATAATTTTATTAAACAAAGTTTTAAATTTTTTATTATTAATTTCATTAAATAGAATTAATTTCATATTTTAACCTTTCTTAAATCATACTTTAATAAATTAAACAACCAATCTCTTATTCATTTTATTATACAAATTTTCACAACATCGATGTGTGATTTACATTGCTGTCGATTATCCAAAATTATAAGAGGTTTATGTATAGCTTACGCTATCTTAAATTTCTTTCAACATTAATCATAATCAAAATTCAAATTCAAATACTTTATTTACGAATAAAATATATATATATATATATATATATTTATTTATTTTTAAAAAAAATGATTTACAATATGGTTGTGTGATCTTCCTTCACTTTCTATATTGTTTCTTGCAAGGTACATGTATAACTGCATTATCTTGTATCCTAAACATTATAATCTTATGAAAATAATTTTAATCTCAAAACAATTCTCCTTTACTAAACTTAATTTTAATTAACCAACCCCATAAAGTTTTAGATAGAACTACGTGGCTTTGAGTTCTCCCATTGCACCTGGGGATACGTAGGAGCGGGAACCGAACCCGTCAAGTCAAAATAATTTTTAAAATAACCCAAATAATATTTTAATAAATAATATTTCTTCTTTTAAAATAAAATAATTAATATTTAGGGATTAAATAAATATTTTTCAAAATTAGAATGAATTTGCACAATTAATTTTAGGTAACCGTTTTTAAACGGACGTTGTAGGGTGTTAATACCTTCCCTACACATAAATGACTCCCGAACTCATTTTTGGTTTCAAAGATCGTATTATATTTAAGTTTTTTTCAAGTTTTTTTCTTAAAATAAACTTTCGTATTATATATATATATATATATATATATATATATATATATATATATATTTAAAAAAATGATTTACAATATGATTGTGTGATCTTCCTTCACTTTCTATATTGTTTCTTGTAGGGTACATGTATAACTGCGTTATCTTGTATCCTAAACATTATAATCTTATGAAAATAATTTTAATCTCAAAACAATTCTCCTTTACTAAACTTAATTTTAATTAACCAACCCCATAAAGTTTTAGATAGAACTACGTGGCTTTGAGTTCTCCCATTGCACCTGGGGATACGTAGGAGCGGGAACCGAACCCGTCAAGTCAAAATAATTTTTAAAATAACCCAAATAATATTTCAATAAATAATATTTCTTCTTTTAAAATAAAATAATTAATGTTTAGGGATTAAATAAATATTTTTTAAAATTAGAATGAATTTGCACAATTAATTTTAGGTAACCGTTTTTAAATGGACGTTGTAGGGTGCTAATACCTTCCCTACACGTAAATGACTCCCGAATTCATTTTTAGTTTCAAAGATCGTATTATATTTAAGTTGTTTTCAAGTTTTTTTCTTAAAATAAACTTTGGTGGCGACTCCTCTGATATTTTGAACAATGTTTGTTTTTCGCCATACCGTTGCGATCACCCGGTTGCGACAAACGTGCAGTACACGGTACTTATATTCATAGATATTTACTTAATTAATTTTATTTTTTGAACAATAACAAAACAAAAAGAAAAAATATATATATCCAATACTGTTTATGCTACAGTTGAAAATTATAATTGTAAAAGTAATAAATGTTTTATTTTATGATTATCAAATAAGATAAGTTCAAATTACTTATATTTGACTCACCATTAAATAAACTTTAAATGAGTCATTTTCATTTTATGTAAATTTTGTGATATTTTTAAAAAATTTCAAGATATAATACATAAAAAATTTTAACCAATAATATTTAAACACGTATTTAAATAATAAATTTATTTAATAATAAATTGTTATATTTAATATATTTAAACAACCTGAATAACAGTTAAATTTTTTAATAGAATTAGAATATAATTAAAATTAAATAAACTAAAATTTAAAAATAAAATAATAATATTATATTAATAAATTTTTTATATTCGTAATTTTATTATTATTAATATTTAATTATTATATTAATATATTATGCTATAATTTTTTTTATTTATAATAAATAAAAACAATTTATTTAAAACTAAAAATATTTATATACGTATTTAAATAATAATATATTTAATAATAAATTATTATATTTGTTATATTTAAATAAAATATCAATTTTATTTGGTTGAAATTTGATTTTAATTATATTCATAGCAAAGTAAATCAAATTACATACTATTTTTAGCATGTGTTGAGATATATTGTATTAGTAAAAATCAATCTAAAGTGAACAACAAACACCTCTACAACATGTTTGGTCAACATCTAATTGCATGCATATGCATATGCAGTATCTTTGGCAAAGTGTTCTGAAAACCAAGCTTTTATTCCCCTTTTAAATTTGAAGTTTCAATATTGGTCACTTTTGCAAAAAGCATTGAACTTCAATAAATAATAAATTAAAATTAGGCAAATGCCATTTCCAGAATATGATAACAAAGATTAGTAATATATCTGCTAGTTTGTGTACAAGAAACAGCAAATAAACCGTATAAGGTTCAATAAACTCGTCTCCAATCAACGTCTCGGCATCCTACACGCTAGATGTCTCTCTCTCTCTATATATAGAGAGCCCCAAATCAATTATCATAATCATTAATTAACCTTCTTCCTATAGATTGAATCCAAAAAGCTCTTTCTCTCTCTGAATTTGCTCCTTTTCTGTTCCAGCACTATGGCTTCTTCCCTTCCTTCGGAAAGCAAAAAACTAGAGAGTATGCCATAAATATACCTTTTTTCTTCTTCTTTTCTCATGCAGCATTTGTCTGTACCATTTCACTTTTATGTTCTTTAAACGAATATACACAATTGCAGGAGTAGCTGGTGATACTGGGGAGAAGTCTATTCCACTCCATGAAAACGTTCTGCAGAAGCATGCTGCATTCTTTGACATGAACAAAGATGGTGTAATTTATCCCTGGGAAACTTTTCAAGGTTTTCTCTGTAAAACCTTTCATTTTACTTAACATTTTATAGAAGAAATCTCTCATTCTCTACTAAACATTTTCTTAGGGACAAAGTTGTCGGTAAAAGTGAATTATTATCATAATCTACAAAGTTTCCTATCTTTATAATTAATTATCACGTAAAAGTTTTATTCATAAATCAGTTATTAAATGATGAATTTTTAGTGGTAAAAGTTGGAACAAATTTATGTTCACTTATAAAAAAAAATTAACATTTTTAAAAGCTTTTATCATGTGAAATATTTTTATTTTCTTCTATTAAATATGAGAAACTTCTATTCTTACGTTTCTGTAACGTAAAGTAGATCACATACTTTAAGATAGAATACGTTGTTACTTATATATCGTTTGGTTGTAGATAGGGTATAACTAGAGCTAGTAAGATGAGCGTACTTAAAGTATCTATTCAAATATATATGAAAAAAATGAAGACTTTGACGTATTACAATTAGATATATAAAGCTTTCTTAAATAATTGATAGATAGTTATAATGTTTATTTTAATTTTGTTGAATGAAATGATTTGATAGAAATTTTTGTTTTAATATTGTGACTTTGTACGGTGGATTTTGTTGTAGGGTTACGTGAAATTGGGAGTGGCATGTTGTTGTCGAGTGGACTTGCTCTTTTCATTAATTTGGCTCTTAGTCAAACTACTCGCCCGGTATCACTCTTTGTCCCTTAAAAACTTCTATTTTCTTACATTTTCATCTTTATTCCACTATTTAACTAGAATTTATCCATTGTTATTTTCAGCAAAAACATAATTTTTTAAATTAATTATTTATTGGCATGAACTAAGCACTACAATGTTTTTAAATCAATTATTTATTGTTAAATAAATTTTCATATCAATATCATTTTATTAATTATAAAAATAAACTTGTAGAATTACATAATTTTTATTTACTAAAAAATAATTTAATTTTAATGTCAATTAAAATAATTATATTTATGCCATCATCTAATTAGAATACATCTAGTATATTACTTTTGTATTAATTATTAAAAAAATTATTAATATATAATCCATGATTGGATGGTATTTAAATTAAATTTATCATAAAAATATTTAAAAAATGTCATAAAAACACATTTCTTTCTATTTTTTGTGTTATAACGTCACGATTCTAAAGCACGTGATTGTGACTTTTTAATAAAAATTAATTCAAGGTAATTTTTTGATACTTTACAAATTAAAAGAATATTTTTATACGTGGAATAATTATTATTGTTAATTTTAAATTATTAAATAATGAAATTAGCTTTTTAAATTAAAAAATTAATCTTTAAAATATTAGATAACTTATTATTATTATTATTAATTTTTTAAAAGTAATATTCTCTTAAATTTACGATAACCATCACTTTTGTTAAATAAAAAAAATTAAAATCACAAAAATTATTGGAAAAGAATAAGATGCAGAGGTGAAGTGAAATGAGGGGCAAAGAGGTTGATTCCGCACCGCCACAGATGATTGCCCACCAAAATATACAAATTAGAATACGTTATCTTCGGACTCAACGTCGTGCAATTTAGTGAAACGTTTATTGAATCAGATATAACTTTTGCATTATTTTCAAAATTGAGGAAATCATTATCTTTACGACTTTAATTAAATCAAACAAATTTAATATTTATATATTATTTATAGAACATAACAATCAAATGTTTAAATAAGTTCAAATTAATAATAAAATAATAATTACAAATTTTAACATACATTTAGTAATTGTATATATCAAATAAGATAATTTATTAACACTTAATTTGAATAAATTTTTAATATTTTTTATATGAAAGAAAAAATAAGTAGTAAAACAAAATAAAATTTATGGGCTTATAACTTTTTAATTATCTTCATATCTAACCAAGAAAGATTGATTTTAAGCAAAGAGTAAATAATATGAATTCAATAATTTTGTTTTCTCCTTCTTTTTTGTGTTGTAGGGAAAGTTTCCATCTTTACTATTTCCAATTGAAATTAAGAATATCCAGCTAGCCAAACATGGCAGTGACACTGGAGTCTATGATACCGAAGGAAGGTACCTATTTTTACACAAACCATGCATTTCTTAAATCCTATTTGTTTCATTTTACTCATCTAAACTATTAATTGCTTTTCATTTAGGTTTAATCCTTCAAAATTTGAAGAAATTTTCACAAAACATGCACATACTCATCCAAATGCTTTAACTTATGATGAGCTGAAGGAGATGATAAAGGCGAATAGAGAGCCTAAGGATTTCAAAGGAAGGTAGGTTTCTGATTTCTATTATGGGATCGCATTTTTCACTGCAAAATTATTTTTCTTTTCCCATTCAAAAATTAATTTCTCAACATTAATGGACAGAATTGGTAGTTTGGTTGAATGGAAAGTCCTTTACAAGCTTGCCAAAGACAAGAATGGGTTACTGCCGAAACAAACAATCCTTGGTGTTTATGATGGAAGCTTGTTTCAACTCCTGAAAAACCAACATTCCGCAGACCAAAAGATGTAATTTAACATTTACTTGATGATTTATTTTTTTAATAAAATATGTATTTACTTTTTATAAATACGTTTAAATTTGGTTTATTTTTCTAAATTTTTTTATTGATTTTCATTCTTATAAATTTTAAAATTTTATAAAATAATCTTTGCACCATTTACTGCTGTTGTGACATAGTTAAATATATATCATATTATATTACTCAATAATAGTAGAGACTGTTTTAAAAAGAATAAACTTTTTAAAATTTAAAATCAATAAAAAAATCATGCCCTTTATTCAAAAAGTGACTGTAATCTATAAAACACTATTTTTTTTTTTTCCTATAATCTACTATGAGTAAGTCATTAAGATAAGGTTTCAAAAACAAACAAATCACTTGTATATTAAACACTTTATTCCTTTGCGAATTAAAAGTTTTATATATATATATCAATATTATCTTTTGGTACTTATTTACTACAAATGAACGAGAAAAGAATGAATAAACTTTGTTTTATGCACATCCAACGAGGACGGTTGTAGAAAATGAGTACAACTAACCAAATGTTGATACATGTACTCAAATTGTCAAAACGATTGAATATGTCGATAGCTGACTTAAGGCATATATTTTGAGGTTCTAAAGCAAACTATAAATGTATTATGTCAAATCTTTTTCATACTTCTGAGTTCTTTGGATCCCTTATATCGCAACTAGAGTTGTAACGGGACAGTGAAAAGTTTTTAAAAAAATATCTTTTAGAAATAAAAATATTTTCTAAAAAGTATGATAGTCACTATCAAAGTTTATTTTAAAAAATGTTTAAATTTTTTTTTAAAATAATATGATCTTTAAAATTAAAATTAAGTTTCAAGTGATTCAATTTGATAAAAAATGTTTGAATTTTTTTTTAAAATAATATGATCTTTAAAATCAAAATTGAGTTTTGAGTCATTTATATATAAAGAATGTATTAGCACTTTACAATATCTATTTAAATAATAGTTATCTTAAATTAATTGTGTAAATTTCTTTTAATTTAAAAAAATATTTATTTAACTCTTAGACGATAAGTGTCACTATTTTTATTTTTTAAAGAAAAAATTATTTAATGAAATTTTAATTAGTATTAAAAAAGAGAAAAATTATTTTAAAAATAGTCTTAAGATTTGGTTATGACTCTTACGTATCCCCAAATGTAATGAAAAACTCAAAGTCGTGTAATTATGTCATAAAAAATATGAAATTATTTTATTAATTTAAAATTTATAAGATTTTAAAAGAAATTATTTTAAGATTAACTATATGTTTTTTTTTAAAAATAATTTATATATTTTAGGATACAACATAGCGTAACTATACATGTTATCTCACGTTAAGCAAAGGAAAATCACACATCTATATTATAAGTCGTTACAAAATAGTATGGTAACTAAGACAAAATATTTGAATTTATATAAAATAGTATTTTTAGTAAATATTTTAATTTAAAATTTAATATTAAAAAATTTAAAATAACATAAGTTATACATGAATCTCTCATCACTTATTCATCAAATCAAACAACGTAAATCACACATTGATAACATAAAATATTACATGATAAGATAGAGAAATAAATTTAATTTATTAAAGTTAGAAACATATTTTTATTATTATTATTATTATTATTATTATTATTATTATTATTATTATTTTAAAAGTAATTTTTATTTAATAAAGAGAGAAATATTTAGAGAGAAAAATATGTTTATATTACTTAGTAAAGATAATTATTTAACAAAATAAATTATAAATATAACTTAATTTTAATAATATCTTTATTACATGAAATATAAAGTAACATTGGTATCCAAAAGTTTTTACGATTTATAATATATAATAGTAGAGTCGCTATACATTAATGTTACAAATCGTTACTCTTAGGTTAGTTAATAAGTTAATTGTTTAATTATTTAAAAAGTTTAAAAGAAGAAATTTATAGTAATCAACAAAATAGTTATCCAACTAATTTAAAATGAATCGTAAATTGTTGTATTAATAAAAAATATTTATTTATTAACTTAATTAATAAAAATATTTGAAAGAGTATATTTTAAAGGGTGAAATATTTAATTGATTAAAACTAAGACATTTTTAACTTAAACTATTTATATCACATAAAATTGTTGGTAACTTAGGTACATATTGTAACGCCCCGAATTTTTGTAATAATATTTTGATATATTAATATAAGTGTATATAAGGATTTTCATGTGTTTGTGTGTTTAATATATATATGTATATATATATATATATATATATATCTGTTTGTGTGTGCGCGTGTGATGTGAACCTATATGAATGAGTGAATACGAGTATGAGCATATGTGTTGGTTTGTGATTGAGCTGAATTTGTTGAAAATGATTGGGTTTGATTGAAATAGGCTAAGTGTATGCTACAGGATGTTCTTGCTATAGCGAAAAGGCTCTGGGCGAAAAGCATGAAACTATGTCATTCCAGCTGTAGCGAGAAGGCATTGGGAGAGAAGGGGTGGAACTGTTGCATTCTCACTGCAACGAGAGGGCGACAGTGGAGGATGGATTTCTGTGTGTAATCTCGTTGTAGCAAGAGGGACTCGCTGTAGCAAAATTCTGCAGAAACCTGAGTGCAGAATCGTCTGAGATTTTCGTTGCAACGAGAAGGGGTCTCGCTGTAGCGAGACATCCTATAGCGAGAGATGCCTCGCTGCAGCGAGAGTGTTGTGATCAGAAGATGATTTAAGGTGTTTAGGGTTTGGAAAACTCATTTTTCCTTTCCTCTCTTCAAAATCTCTTCGATTCTCTCAACCCTCTACCCTATTTCACCGATTAAACTATCTCCAAAGTCGTTTGTGAGTTAGATCAAAGGTTGGAATCACGTTTGGAGCATTTGGAGGTAAGTTTGTGAGTTAGGATCTTCGGGTTTTCATCCCTTTCTTTGATTTCCCAGTTTGTCATGGTGTTTTCCCCTATACTTAAAATGAAAGTTTGTGTAGGGAGCACTTTCATCATAGATTTTGTGTTAGGTCTTCAATCTGAGCTAAGGAGGGACTCTATACTATCTCCTTTGTGTTTAGAATTCATTTATATTGCTATGTATTAGAATATGGTTGACATAGGACATAGAAAAATGTACATTTTGGTGAAAATAATTGATTGTGGTCAAATTGAGATGGAAACTTTGTGTGCAATGCAATGTGGTTGCTTTTGATTGTGGATGTGTTGAAATGGTTGGCTACAATGTGGTTGGAAATGTATGTGAATATGTCATTGGTTGATAATGACTAATTTAAATGATTGAAAATACATATGAATGGCATGATGATTGCGTTTGAATATGTTGAAAAACTATGAATGGTTTAACGATACACTAGAGTGTAGAAGATGGAGACGGTAGAAACACTTTGGGGAAGAGAGGGTGATGGTGACACCAACAGTGAGTGTGGGTACACCACAGGCCACACACTCTTCTTCTGACTCAGCCTCTAACTAACACCTTTGCCAAGGAGCTCATGACCGCACATGTTGTATTCGTGAAACGAGGGCAATCCAACAACCATCCATGATATGAAACTAATTAAGTTCCTGTTACTTTCTCAACAGTTGCACTAAAAGTAAAATTGACTAGCAAGTGTATTAGTATTGTTGTAGCAAGTTATAAAATCTTGGAATCATGTTTGAGTCCTAAATATCGTCCTCAAGGAATAGTTTTCGCAAGTATTACTTCACAATTCAACAAGTAGTTGAGTCTAACGCAATTCAATTGGAGTTTGTAATATTTGAAAGCAAATTAACAAGTACATAATTCAAAAAACGTAACAAAACAAAAGCTACGAATTTGTGTATTGAAACAGATGTGTGAAACATAGTTAGGGGTTTATTTCACCAAAACTTCAGTGTTAATTCAATCAAGTTCTAAACTTTTAAGCATTTGGATTAAATGACAATCAGTTTTACAATTTATTAATCAAAGGTTAATTCCTTAACTTAATGACTCTAACATTCAATTCAATCATCCTAATTCCTTAAATCTGATTCAATTAAATGTTGCATTAAGCATTAGAAACCAAAAGATTGCAGAGGGAGTAAGTATTCAGGCTCAAGTAATTCTCAGTCCAGAGGGAGTTTATCATGAGAGAAGAGTAGTGGTAGTGGCTCTGGTCTTGGTTTTGGCTCTTTCAGATAGCTAATCAAATGTTTCAGGTATGGAGGACTACACATACTAAGAGACTGTCCACAGCCACTGACAAATTGTAGTAACTGTTGAAAGTTGGGATACACTGCTAATGTGTGCTGGGCTGCTAAGAGGAGTGGCAGTACGAGTACAACTCAGAGACCTAAGTTGAGAGGGAGCATGGGGCTGAAGCCGATTATCCCCAAAAGAGTCTTTGCTATGAGCGGAGTAGAAGTCTCACAGTCTGAAGAGCTAATCAGAGGTAAATGCATTATTAAAGGTCAATTGTTGGATGTGTTGTTTGATTCGGGTGCTACGCACTCCTTTGTTTATGTGAAATGTGTGAAGAATCTGGGATTGCATGTGACTGAATTGCCATGCAATGTTGTGGTAACTATCCCTACGGGTAAACCGATTATGACGTCATGGGCATGTTTAGGGTGTTCAATAATGGTGCATGGTAGGGACTTCGAGGTAGACTTGATTTATTTGCCTCTCTCCCAATTAGACGTGATTTTGGAGATGGATTGGCTAGCTGCCAACCATGTGCTGTTGGAGAGAAGACATTGGTTTTTGGTGCGATAATGACAGAGATTTCAAGGCTTTTGAGCCAAAGTACATGGGAGAACACGGTGAGTGCTAAGGCCTTCATGGTCATGTTCTCAATGGAGGCCGAAAATGTGGTGGAGTCGAAGTATATCATAGTAGTGAGGAATTTCTTAGAAGTTTTCCCTGAAGATGTCTCAAAATTACCGCTCGAGCGGGAGATAGAGTTCTCCATTGACCTCATTCCGAGAGCAAGCTCGATTTCTGTGGCACCATATAGGATGTCACCAGTGGAGTTGGAAAAGGTCAAGAAGTAAGTAGAGGATTTATTGCAGAAACAGTTTGTGAGACCGAGTGTATCACCATGGGGAGCACCAATACTCTTGGTGAAGAATAAGGATAGGAGTATAAGGATGTGTGTGGACTACAGACAACTAAATAAGGTAACGATAAAAAACGAGTATTCACTTCCTAGGATTGATGATTTGATGAACCAATTGAGGGGAGCTGCAATGTCTTCAAAGATTAAAGATGAAAGATTGACTTGAGATCGGGGTACCATCAAATTAGGGTGAAAGATGAGGATGTACCCAAGAAGGCGTTCAGGAGCGATATGGTTACTATGAGTATTTGGTGATGCCGTTTGGGGTGACTAATGCGCCTACGGTGTTCAAGGACTACATGAACAGGATCTTCCATGAGTTTTTGGATAAATTTGTGGTGGTGTTCGTTGACGACATCTTAATTTATTCGAAGACTCAAGAAGAGCACGTTGAGCATTTGAGGATAGTTTTGTAGATTTTGAAGGAAAGGCAGTTGTATGCCAAATTCTCAAAGTGCAAGTTTTAGTTGTCCTAAATTCAATTTTTGGGGTATGTGGTGTCTAAGGATGGGATTATAGTAGACTCTACGAAGGTGGAAGCAGTAGCTGAATGGCCGAGATCGAAGAATGTGACTAAGATTCGTAATTTCCTAGGAGTAGCGGGCTATTATAGGAAATTCATTGAAAGGTTTTTTAAGATAGTTTGCGCTTGACGAAGCTAACCTGCAAGGGTAAGGAGTTTAAATGGACCAAAGGGTGTGAAGCTAGTTTCTTGGAGCTGAAAATAAAGTTGACCTCAACACCTGTGTTAGTTCTGCCTGACCTAGAACGGAAATTTGACGTGTATTGCGATGCGTCTAAGCATGGACTTAGGTATATTTTGATACAAGACAGACAAGTGGTTGTTTATGTCTCAAGGCAGTTGCATCCGCATGAAGTCAACTATCTGACTCACGACTTAGAGTTACTCGCGGTGGTTTTTGCCCTTAAAATGTGGAGGCACTATCTCTATGCAGTTAGGTTTGAAGTGTTCAGTGACCACAAGAGTTTAAAGTACCTGTTTGAAAAGATGGATAGAATTCCTTAAGGATTATGATTTCACATTGTCTTACCACCCTAGCAAGGTAAATGTGGTAGCTGACGCTTTGAGAAATATGTATCATCTGACACTAAGAATTGTTATAGCAAAACTTGGTCCTCACCAACTTATCACAAGGAAGTACACCTATCATAAGTTTACAACAAACACAAACTCCTACATCTTCAAGTGTTACTCTAACCAAGAATTCTAAGCAAGGGTAAGGAGTTTAAATCGACCAAAGGGTGTGAAGCTAGTTTCTTGGAGCTGAAAATAAAGTTGACCTCAGCACCTATGTTAGTTCTGCCCGACCTAGAACGAAAATTTGACGTGTATTGCGAGGGTGTATTTTGATGCAAGACAGACAAGTGGTTGCTTATGTTTCAAGGCAGTTGCACTCGCATGAAGTCAACTATCTGACTCACGACTTGGAGTTAGCCGCGGTGGTTTTTGCCCTTAAAATGTGGAGACACTATCTCTATGCAATGAGGTTTGAAGTGTTCAGTGACCACAAGAGTTTAAAGTACATGTTTGAGAAGATGGATGGAATTCCTCAAGGACTATGTTTCACATTGTCTTACCACTCTAACAAGGTAAATGTGGTAGCTGACGCTTTGAGAAATCTATATCATCTGACAGTAAGAATTGTTATAGCAAAACTTGGTCCTTACCAACTTATCACAAGGAAGTACACCTATCATAAGTTTACAACAAACACAAACTCCTACATCTTCAAGTGTTACTCTATTCAAGGATTCTAAGTTAGGTAACTCAAGCTCTGGAAATAGGAAAGAAATGAGTGAACGAATAGTCAAAAGATTGTACAAATTTTGTAGGGAGCAATAGGATAGAAATCATCGACAAAAGTGTAAGGTCTGTAAAAAATATTAAATGTTATATTTAGTGCAAAAGAGGAGTTAGATGTGAAGGAGGAAAATTATTCTAAAGTAGACATGTACCAGGTTGTCTTGGTTAAAGGTAAGGAAATATTGCAGAAAAATGAATGTTCATATTTTTCTTTATGCCTTCAAGGGAATCATTAGAGGCTACACGCTGAAGTTAAAAGGATTGATTAAAAGAAAAGGTGCCATTTTTTATAGACATGGGTAACACACATAAATTTTTAAGTGAAAGATGGGCAAAGATAATTTATTCTTAAAATTATGTTTTTCTATTTTATAAATATTAAAACTAAAATTTCTAATAAAAAATAAAAAAATAATAATAATAAATTTACAAAGAATAAAATATAAATTACTTTTTTAAAAGTAAAATAAATATTTTTAAAGTTAAAATAATTTTGTGGACTTAATTATTTTATTTAACAAACTGTTAATACTTTGTTATACTTAGATAATTTTCAAACCCAAATATAATTCTAAAGATTATTTTAAAAAAATTAATATTTTTTTTATAAATTTTAGCAGCAACTTCTCATCAATCAGCTTTTAAAAACCATTTTTTCGATCACTTCTTCTCAACGCGTCCCCATCCTATCGTTGCGACACAGTAATCGTCACCTAATGGTTGGAAGGATAGACATCAATGAAGGCTCTGTACCCCACACATTCCCATTATGTACCATCCACCACCAGAAGCAGATCCACATCCCCACCCTAACGTTCCCTTTTGCCTAAAGTTAGTTTCAAGATCAATCATTTTCAAATTAATTAAAATAATTTTTATTTTTATTTTTACTTTTTAGACTATTATAAAATCAATTTATTCATAATATTTATTAGGATACTTTGTAAACTAGAAAAAAATATTTTATATTTTTTAAATTAAGAATTATGATTCTTTTAATACTTTAAAAATTAAAGAGTATTAATATTTTTTAACTTAATTATTAATTATATTATTTATTAATATAAAATTAATGATCATGATTAATTTAAAAGTATTAATCCATCTCAATCATAAAAGGTCTTTTACCTTTATTCAATTTTCTTGATTTTATGTCTTTACAACACACCCATATGTGGGCGTAATTCTGGAATGTGATAGGATAGATATTTGGTTCTGTCGAAGAAACAAATCAAACAAAACAAGTAAACTTGTCCCCCACAAAATCAGGATCGGGATACTCTTTTTTTTTTTTTTGCACGAACATAACTTTTACGTGCTGTTATTTTTACATTTTTACTTGAATAAAAAATAATTCGCTTAAGTAAAAACAAAAAAATACGAAGCATGAAGGTTATGTTGGAAGAAGATTTTGATCCACAAAATCATTTAACTATGTTCTAATCATAAAAATTGTATAATGATAAATAGCCATTGAGAAAGATACCACTAAAAAAAAATATGCATGATGTGATTTATAAATATAAAGAAAAAAAGTATTGCATAAATTGTTGTATAGTTTTATTATAGGAATATATATATTTTCATTACAAAACACAATGAAAATTTATATTGACTTAAATATATGTTTTTAGTGAATCTTTTATTTTTATTCTTTAAAACGTTTTTTCAGTTCTGATCCTTGTATGTTTGTAAATTTTTATTTCAATCTCTATTAGTGATATGGTTCAATAAAAAGTTATAATATATCAATTTTTTTTTTGTCGAACCGCGTTATTGAAAAGCAGTATAATTGTTTGAAAGATCGTTCAAAAATTACTACAATGTTGGAATAAAAAAAATATTTATATCAATTTAATTGTAAATTTTTTTATTTGATAAAAATTGAAAATATATATAAAATAAAATGATTGGTGAGTTGAAAAATAATTAAAAAATATTATTATAAAAGTATTATGTGAAAAATACAATTAAAACAAAAATTTTAACAATATATTTACTCCATTTTTATGTTTTATATATCATTTCAAAAAAGATAAAAAAAAATTTGAAGTTAAAAACTAACATTAATAAACAATCTTTACATGCAAAACATATAAAAATAACATTAGAAAAGAAAGAAAAAAGATAGAAGAGATACTTATGAAAACATAATTGAAAAAAATTAAAAAATTATGTTCTAAAACACACAAAAAGCATACGGTTCTCTTAGTCCTTGAAAGGATTTAAACTCAAAATTTTACTTAAAATGAATTAAGATCCTTTATATTATAATTTAAAATCTAAAAAAAATTGAATTCATTTGTTATCAAATATAATACTTGAACATGATAAAATGAGAACGGGTCCACATAACGTGCAGTTTTGAAATGGCCATGCTACTTTTGCAGGGCCAATTGCAGCACAAAGTCATTCGATTCTTGAACACTGCTACGAAACAAAGCAAAATGATTAATGACATCTCCGCATGAACATGACAGAACAGATAAACACAGCTGTTAGGTCATGTCAACGAAGTAGCCAAATAACTGGGCAAGCTTTGAAAATTTTGATTTATAAAAACTTTAGATCAATATTTTTAATTATTTTTTAATAATTTTTTTAGTTATTGCATGAATTAAATGTAAAAATATTACAAAAGTTAAATAGAGTGATATAATAAATTTCAACACTGGAACTTATTTACGAAACATTTATTAAGATTTGATAGACACGTGTTGGATGAAATGGGCAATGGTGTCCAAAACGTTATGTATTCCCACACCTCTATATATATATATATATATATATATATATTGCACTCGTAGATGTCATAACTTGTAAAGCGTGAAGCTTTCTTCATCTGAATTTGCTGGTTTTTTGATTCAGCATTCCATCAAATATGGCTTCTTCGCCTACCTCAGTAAAGAAAAGCCAAGAGGGTATCTTATAAATTTACCTTTTACTTTTTATTTATGAAGCCTTTTGTGCTATTATTTCCACTTATATGTTCTTTAAACCAATGATTTGCAGGAGTATCTAATGCAATTGAGGAGAAACACAGCATTCCACTTCATGAGAACGTTTTGCAGAAGCATGCTGCATTCTTTGACAAGAATCAAGATGGTATTATTTACCCAACGGAAACTTTTCAAGGTTCTTATGCTTTTCCTTTCTATTTAAAAAAGTCTACAGATCTCAAGTTTATCAAGTTATTTAGTTTAACGATTGATTAAATGCAGGAATGCGTGAAATTGGGAGTGGGATATTGTTATCTCTTGGCGGTGCTGTTTTCATCAATTTGTTCCTCAGTCAGAGTACACGACCTGTACCTCTCTTTATCCCTTGAAAATAAACTCCTGTTTTCTTGCATTATACATTGATGTCAATTTAAGTTTCGCTAACTTTATTTGAGACAAATAAAAAAATAAAACATTTAAAAATTATAAATATTAATAATTTTTTAAAAATACCTTGTAAAAAATTGAAAAAGTAAAACTTGATTAACTAAAACCAGAAATGAAATTTGGTAGTTAACGCGAAAAATTAAAATGATTTATTATTAAAGTTTCCTCTATTGTGATAAGGATTGGTTTAACATGACGAAGAAAAAAGCTTGGGACCGAGATTGAAGTTAATTGAACTATCACATTTCCCAAGTGATTGCCCCTAAAATATCTTATCCTTTGCTATTCTGCAAAATTTCTGATCCCCAAATGGTTATTTAGTTATTTTGATATGGATGCATTTATTTCCACATGACACCGACTAAACGAGAAACACCAAAAAGTCGTAATAAGGAGGAACAAGTAATCAAAAGATTAGAAGTTGTAATATTTTCGAAATAATTTTTCATTATTTTTTTTATCACACTAGCCATTTTATTATGTTTTTATCTTTCTAATTTATAAAAAAAATATAATTTTACGATTAATACATTTTAAATATTATCTTGACATGTCTGTTTTATTACATTCTAATGTAATAATTTTATTCTTAATTAATATTATTATATTTAACAATGTTTATCTTTATTAACTTTATTATGATACATAATATTAAAAATTACCTACCCAATCATACTTAAATTAATGAACCCTATTAATATCTATTGAGTGAATTGTATAACTTCTAAAATATTACCAATTAATATCAACTACTCAACACATTTCTATACCGTTGTCACTTATCTGGTTCCTGTGGTGTAGGGAAAGTTTCCATCTCTACTTTTTCCAATTGAAATTAAGAATATCCAATTCGGCAAACATGGCAGTGACACTGGAACCTATGATGCTGAGGGAAGGTATTAAAATTACATTTTTCTCCATATCTTTATTACTTTCATTTTAATTTCTATTAAATCATGTTATCTTTTATTTATTTATTTATTTCCAGTGCTATACTAGTAAAATTTATAATCAATATTTTAGGTTTGTTCCTTCAAAATTTGAAGAAATTTTTACCAAGCACGCGCATACGCATCAAAATGCTTTGACATATGATGAGTTGAAGGAGATGATAAAGGCGAATAGAGAGCCTAAAGATTTCAAAGGAAGGTACGTAGGTTTGTCTGATTTATTATATGTAGAATCACATTTTAAATATTAATTAACTAACATTGTTTAAGAAGTTAATTTTGATATATTATTAAAATAAAAAAATTTATGCCGTCAATTAATTAAAAATTACTTTACATATGACTTTTGTATTACAATTCATGAGTAATTATAATTTTGAAAATATTTATACTGATAGTGTATTTTGATTAAATTAAAAAAATAACCTTATTAATATATTTTGAAACCATGATGCACAGGATTGGTAGTTTTGTTGAATGGAATATCCTTTACAAACTTGCCAAAGACAAGAATGGCTTACTGCAGAAAGAAACAATCCAAGGTGTTTACGATGGAAGCTTGTTTGAAATTCTGAAAAAGGAACACTCCGAAGATAAAAAGAAATGATTTTTATTTTAGACACAATGTAGAACAATAGAAGTTATTTGACATAGAAAATTTGGTTATTTAAGAATAAATGCTCGTATTACATTGTAATATCCAAAGATTTGTCGTTATTTGTTTTTAGGTTCACTGTTGATGTATTGGTTAAGTCGAATGTTTCATCATCTATCGTGTCTGGAATTCATCCAAAATGCCTATGTCCACATTTATCTCAAGTTCACAAATGTTCTCTGGGTTTCTGTTTTTATGATTATATACTGAAAGAACTCTTCTTCCAGAGTCAGGCTAATAATTAATTATTTGATTTTTTTAATGTCATAAATATTTTAAAATAACTTTAAACTCTTTATTTTTATTTTATTTGGTATTTTAATTAAAATTAAAAATCTAAAAGAAAAAAAATATATAAATAGACGTAAAATTTGATCTATTATCTATTTAAGGTTGACTGATTAATAAATTACAAAACCATTAAAAGAACAATTTTTAAAGCCTAATCATTAATTTAATTGTCAACATTAAAGCCTAATCATTAATTTTTAAAGAACAACTTCTTTAGCATATTTTGAAATCAACACATTATTATGTGTTGTATAAATTGAGTTTATTTTGATTTTTAACGCTTGAGGTTGTCTAGGCTTTACAATTTCTTAATATACCCTATGAACGTGAAAGTAAAATGCATGTAAAACACAAATATCAAAATCTCAGAGTGTAAAATACAATACATAATCCGTAGACACAGAAAAAGAAAATAGAAAAAGTGGTATTGGTATAGAATAGGTTCAAAATGGTAACTATTGTCTTACCTTGATAAATTCCACTGCAGTAGAGCCATAATCCTCATAAATCAAGTTTTGTCATGAGATTCTAATGATAACTCAACTCGCACATCTCACATTCTTTCCCTCTCAAAACATATATCTATCTCTTTTTCATGTGCTGCTGCTACCACGTCAGATAACCATATCCCAACAATGAAACTCCATTGCAACCATTACATTATTTTATCTCCTTGACATCGCTCCCTTTATTTGCTATTGGCCAAAGACTCTTTTCTAAATTGATATTTTCAATTTTGTTTAATAGATGTAAGAAGCTTCCTAATTGCTCCTTTATGTCATTTTTATTTTTTTTTATCTTTAGAATTAACTTTTAGAATTTGGAATTCTTGAGCTAGTTCACAGTAAAAATGTAAAGCTCAACATGCCTCGTATAGGACCAAGCTCATTAAAGTTTAATGCATGAATATTTCAATTAATGGACTATAAGAAGAAAGCACTAAATTTTGATTGAAAGAATATTATTTATCAGATTTGACTCTTTTCATTTCATAATTTAATAAAATAATAGCAAATTATAAAATAATAATAATAAAGAACAAAAACAAATATATAAGTATCATTAAAAAGAATTTTGGACAAATAGACATTAAAAGCTAAATATTTAATTAATTATTTTTCCTCTCTTTGTCGATGTTATATTATTGTTATTATTCATTTATTTTACTCATTCTTTTATTTATTATAAAATTTAACTATCATAAATAATATATTAAATTATATAAAAATTAAAAATAATAAAAATTATAACTTTAAAATCATCATTTCAGTTTGCCATCAATTTTATTTACTTATTGATATTATTTTGTATAATATACATATTGTTTGTTTTGTTTTATGTCTTAATTTTATATTGTTAGAATTATGTTTTTTTTAAATAGATAAATAAAATTTTTATAATAATTTACTATACATTACTATTTGTGTCTGCATTACTTAAGTCTTTTATAATATTAATATATTTAAATTTATTTTTTTTAAATTAATCAATGAAATATTTTTAAATTATTTAATATATCTTTTTAAATATTTCTCACTTTAATTATCAAATATTATATATTTTTAAAAATTAAATTATGTTTCATCTTCCATTAGTTATTTTATCAAAGTACATTTTTGTTCTCTCCTTTTAAATATTTCTCTTGTAATTTATTAAAATTATTTTATTTAATTAACATAACAGTTAATAATGTTATTATATAATAACTCTATTTTTATGTATTGTAAATTATTTATTTTATGTCGTATGCATATCAATATATTTAAAAATAAAATTTCACTTCTAAAATTAATAAATGATATATTTATTTTTTTAATTAAATTTTTTTATTTAAAAATTTTTCTCTCTTAAATTATTAAATAATATAAAAATTTATTTTAAAAGTGAAATCCATTTAATTATATAATTTATTAATAAGATAAAGTATATTTTCTTTTTTTTTATTTCACTTTGTTACTCAATCAAAATATATTATTTTAAATATTTTTATATTCTGTTATCTAATTTAATTTATCAATTAATTAAATTAAAATTAATTCACTTAATTAATAGAACAATTTGTAATGTTATTATGTAATGTCTCTACAGTTATATATTTTAAATCGTTGAGATCTTCATGTATAAATATTAACTTGGATCTCACACAATATAAATTTGTTAAAATATATTTTAATTTCTCTTAATGAAATAATTATTTGTATTAATCAATTTAAATATATTTATTCATTTTTCTTTTCAAAAGTTTTCCTTCTCTTAAGAAAAGTCAACTTTATATTTCCAAAATTTTAAGTCATGATTATAGTTAGAATAAACTAAATAACAAAGTATTTGAATACTCAAAATTATCATATAATATTTTACAATATTGATATACGATTTACATTACTTTTAGTGATCAAATCAATTATAAGAGATTTACATATTGCCTATGCTATCTTAAATTTTTTGTAATATAAGTTTTTTAATTAATTTATTTAAATATTTTAAATTAAGATATCTTATTATCAATTTTTTTCTTTAACAATTTATGGTTTATTTATCTTAGTGTATATGTATAGCCACACTGTATGTCAGGTTAGAGATTTATTATTGAGTAATCTATAATATTTTATACTTGTTCAATCTTAATTGAAGGATTATTTGGAATTGGAATATATTTAGATAGAGTTTGAAATTATTTAAATAAATAAATAAATAAATAAAATAAAAAATAAAAAAAATAAACAGTACCGTATGAACAGTGTCAGATGAACAGTAAAACCGCCTATGAACAGTGCAAACCGCGTACAAACCGTGTATGAACAGTAAAAACCGCGTATGTACAGTGACTGCTGACGTCATCAGTGACATCATCATGACGTCATGGCTGACGTCACATACGCGTACAGTGCGTGTACAGTACACGTGCACAGTATTTTTCGGCGTGAATAGTGCCCTGAACAGTGTTTCTGGCGTAAACAGTAAGGCGGTGAACAGTGTTTCCGACGGTGAACAGTAAATTTTGAAAATTTTCTATAAAGAGGGGGCTTCACACGAAATTTTGATTTCTTCACCCCTATCCAAGGTTCTAAGGCCAAATACCACCATTTCTCTCATACTAAACCTTCCAAAACTTAGATTTCTTGTCAGATCTGAGATTCTACGTCTATTCTGAAGGATTTGAAGTAAGTTTCTTGAAGTTTGAAGCTAGATTTACCGTTTGTTTCTCTTCTTCTTCTCTTTCTCATAGAAGTTCATGGTGTTCTTAGGAGACATTTCGTTCTAAAGCCGAATCTTCGGTAAATCTTGCATTAAAACAAGTAATATTCGGTAGATCTAGTGTGAATCATCTTTCTGAGGTAAGGGGAGTTTACTTTAACCTATGAACTACGTTTTGAACGGTTTAATATGCTATTTTAAGATGTTTTAATATGATTTTGTTAGATCTATTGAATAAAAGCTATTTTCTAAGCTGTAATTGCTGTTAATTGATTTAAAATGCTGAGATTTTGGCTGATCTACTATAAACTTGCCTTAATTGAGCTGTTAAAATAATTTTGGCGGTGTGCATCATGCTAAGATATGTTTTGCATCATTATAGAGCCGAGTTACATGTTTAGGTGGGTAGACATGTAACGGTAAGTTCATGCTGAGCTGCTGTGCTGTGCTGTCTGGATCCAGATACCGGAATGGGTCACTCCCGGACTGGCTCGGTTCCTTCTGGATTACTTAGGCTGTGAAACCAGTTGAAAACTGTTTTCATGTTGTGCATTAGATGGGCTGGAAATGCATGGGATTATTGCTGTGAGAAGTATTTTGCTCTATATATATGTTTTTATTTTAAGTTTGGTAAGCTCACCCTTGCATTTCTTTCTATGTCGTTGTGTGCGTGTGTACTGCGATGATCGTACGGTGGTACATGAGCAGATGTAGCAGGTGTTGCATCTATTTCACAGGCTGAGGGGCCAATGAAGAAATGTTAGAAGCTGGGGTCGAGTAATATTTCATCAAAGTCCTTTTTTCCTTATATTTTTAGATCTCATGTAGAGGGAACTATATAGTATAATTTTGGGTATTTTGAATATTATGAACTAAATGTAATATTATGTTGTTCTGTTTGATATTTGTTGTAAGAAACTTTGTTTTATTTTAATTGAGAAGAGAATTTCATACTTATATTCTCTATTATTTATTTATCTTAAATAAGTATGTGATATACAAACAATGTTCTCGGTTCCTTACAAAAAGGGGTCGTGACACTGTAACATCCTCATTTTATAATTTATTATTATTGCAATTAATATTAGTTGTTTGTGTATGTTATTTGAAATTAGAAGTGTTTGATTGAGGTAAACTATAGGATATCTCGCTATAGCGAGAATGAGGCGATGAAAATGGAACATTCTGAAGCCCTCTCGCTGTAACTAGAATCTCTCGCTGTAGCGAGAATGCTACTCTCTCGCTATAGCGACGAGCTCTCGCTGTAGCTAGAATGACAGACAGTAAAGGAAAAAAACTTCTGATTTTTTCGTTGTAGCGAAAAAGTCGCGAGTTTGAAAGATATTTAAGGAACTCTCGCCCTAAAATTTTCATTTTCAACCAAATCACATATCCCTCTCCATCCTCTTCGTTCTCTCCCTCTCCTTTCTCAAAGAAAACCTCCAATAACTCTGGATCTTCTTCAGATTTGAGCTCAAACATTCGTTCTTCTTGGATCTAAGTAAGTTTCTCAGAGCTCAGATATCTATTTCA